CATCTCTACTAAAAATACAAAAATTTAGCCGGGTGTGGTGGCAGGCGCCTGTAATCCCAGCTACTTGGGAAGCTACTTGGGAGGCTGAGGCAGAAGAATCGCTTGAACCCGGGAGGCGGAGGTTGCAGTGAGCTGAGATCGCGCCACTGCACTCCAACCTGGGAAAAAAAAAAAAAAAAAAGAATTTGCGTATCTTAAACATTTCCAGGTAATGTTAATTCCTCTGGTCTGGGACAACACTTTTAGAACCACCATATAAAAAAACAAGAAACAAAAAAAAATAACAAAAAAACCCAACTAAACACACAAACCCATCCAAACAATAGAGCCATTATTTCTGTAGCAGGATTAAAAAAACCCCGCAGAAACCTTGACATGAATGCCTTTCTCTTACTTTGATTCATGCACTTCAGAAGACAGTAGTAATTCTGTATAGCATTTGCCACCCTTCTCAGTTACACACAGAAGAGGAATTGGGGGCTCAGAGAGGTTAAGTAACTAGAAAACTATGACCCAGAGCCCAGGTCTATTGGATTCTGAAATTCCTGCTTGTGTAAGTGGTTAAATGGGATGTGAGAAACATTCCCTTCTTAGGATCATGCGTAATTTGTTCATGGTATGAAGCAGCTTTTGTGGTAGAATTCACAAATATATCTCAGGAGTTTATTTAAAAATAGTTCAAATACAGTAATAGGGGTGTGAACCTTCACTGCAATGTTTCATTATAAGTAATTTCTCAGGAAAATTATGATAACAATGCCTTCAAATACATGGCACTTGACAAGAAGCTGTGAAGCTGTCCTCAATGACAACTAGTAAATCTATATATGCTATAGCATATAGAATATCTGTAATTAGTACATCTATGGATGTTAGTGTGTGGAGGAAACCTGGCCTGAGATGATTGATGCCCCTACAAAACCTTTGGGAACTGAGGCATAATTACCCTCACAATGAAGACTGAAGGAGTTGCAAGATGTCGAGACTTCAGTTGTATTTTTCAGAGAAAAGATCGTACTGATGCTCCTTCCTCTTGTTCCCCAAAGAAACAAAGGTTAAGTTTATGTTTACTACTGGAGCTTTAAGTTTACTACTTGGGTAATGCTGTCTAATCCTGGCTGGGAATGCTGCTGGTGAGAACTCATCCTGACAAATCAGAACACAGTACTTCTTGGAAAGTACTGGTTTCAGAACTGCCTGAGATGTTGCTTGGGATTTGTTTTGTCTTTATTCCTGACAGATTGCTATATAAAATCAAGCTCATACACAATGTTGACTGCTAAGATAAAAAGCAATTCCTGTGATCACGAAAAAGTCTGTCTGCTGGGCAGAAAGTAAAACAAACAGCACAGAGGTGCTTGACGATCACAGACGATGGCCAATAAGTGATCATTTGTATGAAGTACAGAATGCAGTGTTATTTGATGAACACGATGTTCTGCATGCATCCGGCCATTATATAGGAGGTGTTTGCTCAGATATGACTTCAGATGTACACTATATGCTACATAGAGTCAAACACACTGGCTTTGGTAAGGCCTGAAATATAAATTAAACAAAAACACAACGACTAATAACAGTGATGCTCCAAATAGGCTTTCTTCTTCTTTGGAAATTTCTTACGGTCTGGCTTATTTCGGTGAACACTCTAACCACATTTTCAACTAATTGGTAAAACCCAGAGCAGAGGAGAGGATTATATATGAGTTTCCACGGACAAGAAAAGTCAGAGAGAGGAAGTAGGGAAAAAAAAGGCATGAAAAGATAAAAATTGAGAAAAGTTCAGGGCAGGGGTGGGGGCATATAATTTTCCTGGGCTTGCCATAACACAGTACCACAAACTGGGTGGCTTCAGCAACAGAAACTGTCTCACAGTTCTGGCAGCTAGAAGTCTGAAATCCAGGTGTCAGCAGGGGAGGTTCTATCCTAGGGCTGTGAAGCAGAATCTGTTCCATGCCTCTCCTCTAACTTCTTGTGGACCTGGCCATCTCTTGCCCCTTACATGGTGTTTTCCCTGTGTCTATACATTGTATTCCCTCTGTGCATATCTCTGTGTCCAAATTTCCCCTTTTAATAAGGATGCCAGTCACACTGGATTACAGCCTATCCTAAAGAATTTATTTCAACTTGATTCGCTCTGTGATGACCCTATCTCCATATAAGGTCACATTCTGAGAGACTAGGGGTTAGGACTCCAGCATATCCTTTTTTTTTTGGGAAAGTGGTAGAGAATAGAATTCAACTTATCACAGGAAGAACGAGAGAACTGTGGGTAGGCACAACACTGAAGTCACACAGCACCTTTGTGTACTGCCCAGTCTGTACAACTGAATACTACAGCCCTACCAAAATGGTTCTTTGAGCTCCACATCCCTGGTGTCTTCTAAGACGGAATTCTCCTTTTTAAAAGCTGATACAATAAATGGAAATGCCATGAAGAATTTGCTAGGTTTTGGGTTACTAAAATTATTGACCTCTGCAGATTTTTATTTTGCTTTGTATGTAGCCATAGGGGACACCATTAAATGAGATGAACAGTACTATTTACCCATCAGTCTCGTTTTCAAAAGTAAAAAAATAAGGCCAAATGACAGATTTTTAATATTCATAGGTCCTGTCATCTCCTATATGGTAGACATGTGCATTAGGTCATTCTTACATTGTTATAAAACCTAAGACTGGGTAATTTATTTTTTTATGAAAGAGGTTTAATTGGCTCACAGTTCTGCGGGCTGTATAGGAAGCATAGTGGCATTTGCTTCTGGCGAGGCCTCAGAAAGCTTCCAGTCACGGTGGAAGGCAAGGGAGAGCAGGCACATCACACAGTGAAAGCAGGAGCAAGAAAATGAGGGAGGAGGAGCTACACACTTTTAAATGACCAGGTCTCATGAAAACTCATTCACTACTGTGAAGACAGTACCAAGATGGATGGTGCTGAACTATTCATGAGAAATCCACCCCCATAATCCAATCACCTCCCACCAGGCCTAACACTGGAAATTATATTTCAATATGAGATTTGGGCAGGGACACAGATCCGAACTACATTAACATGTAAAATGAAAAGAAGTCCAGGATTCCAAATTAACTCTTCTTGGCTCCCTGCTTTTCTACTACATTGCAAAAATGGGGAGAATTTTATGGAAAAATAAATATTTGTTTTTAGAATGTATTTGAAATAATTAAAAGGGCCCATAACCTGAGTGAGAGCCCAGACTGAAATGGCAGAGCTACACGACAGAAAATAATCTTCCTCTCTAGGTTCCAAAGGAAGCACATGTGAAAGAGTGCAAAGGAGCCAGCTGAGACTAAACTGGGTTTGTCAAGCTTTTCTTGTGTTTGTTTCTTGTGTTTTCTTGTGTTTGTTTTCAATGTCTTTGTAAAAATTACTAAAGTCATACATTTTTGTTGCCAAACATCAAACAGAACACTCATGTCAATGAAAAAAAAGCAATTTTTCTTCCTCTCTCACTTTTAATCCATCTTCCCAGAAAAAGATCACTTTCCCAGGTTAGTCTAAATACTTCTAAACATTTCCCTGCAAAATCTATATACTATATAGGTATGCAATTTTGTGTTTTACAAAGCGAGATCATGATATATGTATCATTTTCTCATGCCCATTTTAGAAAGTATGGCTAACACCCTAAGACAGAAGTAAGAGTAAAAACCTATCCGTCCCTTACACTATGTCCCAAAGAAAACCCAGTAGTGGTGGGTATGTTTTCTCATTGTCTCTTCTCCGTTCACACACATTTGTTTTGTTTTACTTAATCTTGATCCTCTCAAGTGCTATCCTTTTTTTCTTGTTGTACCAGTAATATATGCTCATAGGAAAAATAAAATTTAGAACATAAGCAAAAGAAGAAAATAAAAATCATCTCAAGATCTACCTTTCCTAAGCTTTAGTCATTGTTTACATTTTTGTATATATCACAAAGACATTTTTCAACTACTTCAATTTAAACAGAAAAGGATAAATACCACCAACAAATCTCAATAGATTTGTTAAAAGTTCAATCCAGTTTGGGCTACGTATACAAGACATCTACACGTGGCTTTATTTTTGTCTTGACTCAAGTGGGCAGAAAGAGTAGAGGAGTTTTCACAACTTAATATTATCACAGAATCAGCATTTAGGGAAAGTTGTCATTTTCTTCCCATCTCTTCACTTCCAGCTCCATCATCCCCTTTCCCCCTCCAAGAGCTTTTCAGAGAATGTGACATTTGCTGCCTTTTCATCCCTCAGAGTTGTTATTTAGATATATTTTGTTTGTTTTATAAATCAGATTAAAGCAAAACGTACTTAAAACACTTCCAGGTCAGAAGTGCAGTTTCTTGATTGAGAGCAGGGTGTTTGTCCTCACTGACATTTAAAAGGCAGATCTCTGTTAAGCCTCTCTTAACACCCAGAATTACAATCTTGAATTTTCCCCACACATCTTGTCAGGAAAATGTTTTAGTGGCATTAAATAATTACTACTGCTTTACACCAACATTTTTCTGGCTATCAATATTTGTTACTTAAACACTTTGGGAAAATAAAGAAAATATAGGAATGAAAATCAAAGTCATCCATAATTCCACTTCCTTGTGATAATCATTGTTACTTAACATTTTAGTGTGTTTTCGGTCAAACTTGTTTTTATGTGTACACACACACACACACACACACACATTATAATCAAATCTATACATGATTTCAATGGCTATGTGGACTTTTATATTATAGCAACGACTATTGTGAATGCTATTGTTTAAATAAAAAATTTAAAACTTAGCCACATTTAAAAAATCTCTCACCAAATATTAACACATCTTTCATCAGTTTATTCCTATCCTGATTACCTTGATTCAATTATTCTTATGATCCTCATCTTGACTTGTAGCCAAAACCCTAGAGCCCCCAAGTAGGGTTTCAAAGACTCAATAGACTGTCCTTTCCATCTTTCAGATGCAGACTTTGATTTTTTGCTTTTTGTCTTACTCACAGTTTTGGGAGGTTTGTTTTCTTTTTCTTCTGCTTTTTAGCAACACCAGCCAATCAAAGATGTGTTTGCCTTTACGGGGGTCCCATTAAACTTCTAGTTCCAAAATGGACTGCCTCACTGCCACCGCCTGCAAGGCTGCAGAAAATAGGGAAAGCTTCACTTATCTTTATCTCTCAATTACCTCTTTAATCTCAACAAATTTTATTGTGCTCTATGAACCACAGGCTTTCTGTTGGCGTTGGGCTACAGCAGCAAATAAGGTCCCTACTAGCCTGGTGCCTCCTGTCCAAAAGGTTGTACTGCTTATTCCACTGGAAGCTGTTTAAAAGCAAGATCTATGTCTGTCCCATCTGGCCATCCATTAGCTCCTGGCAAAGTTCCTCTGTCACAGTAGTAACTTAATTCAACAGCAATTGGCCAAATGAGGGAGTGAAAAGCATATTGCTTAAGAAAATAAATCAGTTGGGCCCGGTACAATGGCTCACGCCTGTAATCCCTGCACTTTGGGAGGCCGAGGCGGGTGGATCACAAGGTCAAGAGTTTGAGACCAGCCTGGCCAACATAGTGAAATCCGTTTCTACTAAGAATACAAAAATTAGCCGGGTATTGTTGCGCGTGACTGTAATCCCAGCTACTCTAGAGGCTGAGGCAGGAGAATCTCTTGAACCCAGGAGGCGGAGGTTGCAGTGAGCTGAGACTGCAGTCCAGCCTGGGTGACAGAGCAAGACTCCGTCTCAAAAGAAAAGAAATCAGTTTTGCCACAATCTTCATAGATTTATTTCTTTGAATGAGGGCAAATCAGTTCTGGTAAAAACACAAATCTCTCTAGAAGGAGTAACATATGAAAAACCTTTCAGCCATTAACAGGTTAGTGAGAAGACATTTTCCAGCCAACTGACTTCCAAATTTGAAATGGGAGAGAAAAAGGAGAGAACACCTGCTTTAGATCATGAAGGGGTGCTTGGGACAAATATGGGAGTAATTTGGGAAACCCAGGGATCAAAAGGTGGTGCCTATGAGGGTCAAAATGAGGGACAAGAGAACTTAGAGAATCAATTTTACAAATTTCACTATTGTATTATATTCAAAATTCTTACAAAAAGACAGAAACCAGAAAATATGAGGTATGTTTTCAAAGAGCTTCCAGCAGTAACTAAGGAAGTGACAAATCACATGCCTGGATCCATTTGGGATCTGGGAGACAAAGACAAAGTGAAGTTTCTTCCCCTTCAATCCCACTGCAAAGATCCTGCCCTGCAAACAGGTATCCTCATATTGTAATATATTTTCAGATTTACAGAAAGTAACCTAGTGGGAAATTGTCTTTTAAGCAATATTTAACTGCTTGAAGTCTTGGTTTTATGACCGCCAGAATGTTGGCAAACTGAGAAATATGATCAATGGGGTAGAAGCCACAGCTTGGAGGTAAGCTGAAATGTGATGGCCTTGTAAATAGTCCCTGTAATTTCTCCTTCATTGAGATCCTATTTGTTAATCATTCATGTAAATGTTAATGGAAAACATGCAGAATCAATTAGCAAGTACTGGCATTCATTTAAAAATCTATAAAGATACTTTTACTATAGTGACAAAAACACACAATTCACAATTACAGACCCTAAATATATATAGTTTTTAAATTTGGAACTGAATTGATGTGAGAACTAAGAGTATTTTAAAAAACTAGATAGAACAAATTTCAGGCAGTATCTGGTAAATTTCCAGAGGATTTATTGACTTGCCAACTTAAAACTGGAGTTTCTTAGGTTTTACGTTCCTTTTGGAAGTTTTTGATGGTCTTTGGCTGGTTTGTAGCCTTTTGTTTCAAGTGGCCTTATCTCAGTGTCCAAAGCAAGAAAACAGATAATGAAAGAAAAGCAACATCTAGAATTTTCTAGAAGACATATATGCGTGTAAATTCATTCACGTAGGTATGACAGACAAGCAACACAAATAGTTTTGTATTGCATTTATTAAAATAACTTAGTATAGTTTAAGTAGGGTATCTATTTAGAGCATTAGACTAACTTTCTAAAATTCAAATTTAATTACTTCGCTTCCCTACTTTAAAAATAGGAATTCCCATTGAATTTGGATTAAAGTTTAAATAAATGGCATACTATATCCATCATAATCTGTTATTCAGCCTTATTTCCTAGTCATCCAGCATCCTCATGATGAGCCCTGGGTGCCTTTCTTTTCCTGGCACAAAGTGCACTTCCTTCAGAAAGTCTACTCTGAATTTTCATATTGGGCCTAGGGCCTCTTCTCTCTACTCCCCCATTACCCTCTGTATAGCTGTCTTATTCATTAATATTACTAATTATACTATAATAATAGTAATTAATATTATTCAGTAGTGATCTGGTTCCATGTCAGTCTTTTTCTCCAAACTGTCTGTTCTCCAAGTATGTGGACACTGTGGCTCCAGAATGTAGCCTCACAGAGCATAAGTTCAAAATAATAACTTGTTAAACATAACTGCATTTATTAAAACACTTATTGTATATACGTGGATGAACACTACCCAAGTGGAGTGGATGCTAAGACGATTTTCCCGACACTGGGCAAATTCTCATTTGGATAGGCCACCTGTCAACATGTACACCTGAGCTAGAATAAAGAAGGACTGGGGACAGGGCAGAACTGGAAGTGACAGGTACCATGTTTTTCTGTTTCTTTTCTTGCGTCTTGCCCTTTTATCTCTCCTTCTGCTCCCTCAACATTTTTCATCTCAGCACACATGCACTCTCAGGTACCCACCATGGTAAAATGGTCAACTGCCCATTAGACCAACTCTTGGCTTGAAAGTGGGAAGGATTTAAAGTCTGACTAGCTTATATGCAGAGCTGGCTTAGATTAGGGGGCACAGATTTAAATACCTTCAAGAGCTAAGGAGGAGAGGTAACTATGTGAAGAGTATTTGTATTAGTCCATTTTCAAGCCGCTGATAAAGACATACCTGAGACTGGGCAATTTATAAAGGAAAGAGGTTTAATTGAGCTTACAGTTCCACGTGGCCACAAAGGCTTCACGATCATAGCAGAATGCAAGGAGGAGCAAGTCACATCTTACATGGGTGGTGGCAGGCAAAGAGAGAACTTGTACGTGTAAACTCCCATTTTTAAACCCATCAGATCTTGTGACACTCATTCACTATCATGAGAACAGCGCAGGAAAAACCCATCCCCATCATTCAATCACCTCCCACTGTGGGAGTTACAATTCAAGATGAGATTTGGGTGGGGACACAGCCAAACCATATCAGCATTGAACTCAGATTAAAAAAACAAAAATGTTTGCAAATCAAGCCAAATAGGACTGACTGTATTTCACCGGCTGGCTGCTAATTTGGGACCTCTGGCTTTAACTATTAGTGAAGCTCGAACAGTGGACTCAGGAGCCAATGGCTGGGAATTCACATCACAAATGTAAAGAATTTTAAGGCAGAATGCATTGAAAGAAAGAAAAATGATGCCCTGGCATAAATATGGTTGAAAAGATATGCCTCCTGCCTATCAAATGACCTTAGATTGAAGGTGGTGGTGAAACACACACACACAGATACATACCATCTCAAAGACCAAGGCTTCTGGGCCCACATGCTTGTAGATCCAATCATGCTGGTCCTCTATTTTGTTAATTCTTGACTGTCTATGTTTTTTTTATAGGGCATCATCTGTAAGCTGAATGGGCTAGATATTGGGAAGGAGAAATGAATAGAAATGATTACTGTCCTCAAGGACTTAATGGAATTATAAAGGAAGACAGACATTTATATTTTAAAATGTACTAAAATGTTTGAGGGAATAGTAAGGTCTACAGAAGAGTGTCATTTCCACCTTAAGAAGCCTCCCTGAGGTGATAAGCCTTCTGCTGAATTTTTACAGATGAATGAAATTTACTAAGGAGATGGGGAAGGGGGTTGGCAGGAAGGCACACAGAGAGAGAAGTTTGAACACAGTTGCTTAAGCATGAAAATGCCTTAGAAGAATGTGGGGGAACTATTAGCAGTTCTGCAGAGCATTAGAAATACAGAGAATGATAAAAACTAGAAAAGCAAACAGAAGCCAGATAATGCAGGCCTTAGAGGTCAGGCTATGGATTTTGAACTCTATTCTATTTTTTAAAATGAGAGTATTTGAAAGTGTGGCAGTATAATTTTATGACTATTAATTTGCATTTTCCATTTATACCTACCCAATCCACTGCAGTCTCCTTTCAAGAAGACAGCCTGAGCTTTTCTCTTTCCTCGCCCTGGAGCTTTGGCAGGGCCAAAGGAGAAGCTGTTGAAAGAACAACGTTCTTTGTGCATGTGTTCAAAGACTCTGTCTTTGGGGGAGATTGTGTTCAGTATCCTGGCTGGGGAGAGGAGAGAGAAGAATGCCTGGGAGCGAGAGACAGGAGAGAGAGAGGTTTCTTCAGGTAGAGAAGGGACTAAGGTTGGCAGTTCACCAAAGAGTCAGGGATGCAAACCTGGTGACCTAGATAGTGAGAACTCAGAGAGGTGATTCAGAGAAGCCTGCCCCAGGCACTGCTGCTTCTTGCTAGGCAAATGCCTCAATTGGCACAGTAGCTGTAGAGATGTCAACACGTCAGATGCCATGTAGGTTTGGAAAGTGAGGCTATCAGTGGCATCTATGACAGCACATTAGAAGCTACGTTCATTTTTTATGGCCACCATGTACGGTTTCTGGACTACTCTAGGCAGAGGGAAGAACTCCCATTAAGTACTGTGATTGAATTTTCTGCCAGCTATAAAAATTGGGTCTTAGAGTTAGATTTAATTGGATTTTAAAAAATGTGATATCTTTAAAATCTGTAGGATAAAATTTATGTATTCACCACAAAGTCTTTTATAAGGGAAAATGACATGATTGGGCTTGAGTTGTGAAAGGATAATGTTTGAGAAAATTCACCTGGCATCCATGAACTTTATTGCAATTTGGGAATAAGATTTTTCCAGAAACTGAAAAAGGTGGACAAGGGACCAAAGATAAAATCCATAAAAGAAACGGAACATTAGTCTTTAAGAAAAGTCAGCCCTTCCCAGATGGAAGAAGTATATTCTAAAGTTTGTGCTTAATGAATGAGAGCTCAGAAATGGAGACCAGGATTGGTCCCACTCTCAACAGCTAAGGAAATGATGACACTAGTGCAGCCTTCTCCACATCAGTTCAATCTTGCAGATATCTGTGTCTAGTAAAACATATTTTTAAAAGTCTTACATGTGATAATGGATCTATAAAAAGCACCACAGTGTCCTAACCTATTTTCTGCTGCTATCACAGAATATCATAGACTGGGTAATTTATAAGAAAAAAAAGTTTACTTAACTCACATCTAAAGGCTACGAAGTTTAAGACCATGGTGCCTGCATCTGGTAAGGGCCTTCCTGCTGCATCATAAGATGGCAGAGAGCATGAGCAAGACAGCCAATAAGAGCTCACTTTTATAACAATGTCACTCCTGTGATAACAAAGCCATTCCTGTGATAATGACATTAATCCACTTGTGAGGGCAGAGCCCTCATTAATCCACTAATCCATTCATGAGGGCAAAGAGATTAAGATTCCAATACATGAACTTTTAGGGGACACATTTGAACAATAACACTTAGTATTATTGGATCCAATCCATGCTTTCAGGGATAAAGTACTGTCATTCCTATTTTAGAGCTAAAAATATGAAATCCCAAAGAGATTAAAATTTTTAATTAAATTATTTTTCAATAAATATGGACTGAGCTCCACCATATTCCAGACACTCTGATAAGAGCTTTGAGGAATTCTAATGTTGGGAAACAAATATATAAGTATTTATTATATATATTGATAAGTGGTATAGCATGTTTTGCACTTTTCCTTTGCAGTGTCTGTTTCCCACGTAACCCCATATTTCTGAGAACTTTTCACTCTCTGCTCAGTACTGACCCCTGGCAGACATATTTTTGTGATTTAATGCAACATTCTTCTTTTAATTGATTGTGTCTGGCATCATCATTGAACTGAAGAGTGGCCAGTTAAATTCTTTCTTCGGGGAATTTAGAATTGGGCTTGAGAAATAGTCAGTCTGAGCTGGTCTCTCAAGTCAAAGACAGTTCTAGTTAATGATATATGTCTATGAATTTCATCAAAACTTTTAAATTAATCACATAAAGTTGTGCAGAATAACTTATCTTTTTAATATCTGTAGCATCCATGGTGGTGACCTCTCTCATTCCTAGTATTGGTTATTTGTGCCTTATCTTTTTTTTTCCAGATTGCCCTTGCCAGAGATTTGTTAATTATATTAGCTTTAAAATAAAACAACATTTGGTTTTTTCATCTTCTTTATTTGTTTTTGTTTCTATTTAATTAAATTCTGCTCTTATCTTTATGATTTCATTTCTTCTATTTCCTTGGGTTTATTTTACAGTTCTTCTTTCTGAAGTTTTGAGATGGATACTTTGCTGATTAATTTTTAACCTATCTTCTTCTCTAATACAAGCATACAAGACTATAAATTTCTGGGTACTGTTAAAATTGCCTATTGTATGGTTTGAAACTGTTTTGTTAGAATTAAGTTGAAAAGGTTTCTAATTTCCCTTATAGTTCTGCTTTGAACCTTGGGCTATTGAGAAGAATATTTCCTAATTTACAAATATATAGAAAAATTTCCAGATATCTTTTTGTTACTGACTTCTAGTTTTATTTCACTCTGGTCAGAGAATACAGTTTTAAATACTCAGAAATTTGTGAAGATGTGCCCAGACTATGGTCAATTTTTGTGAATGTTACATGGTTGTTTATAAAAAATAAAGGTATTCTGCAATTCTTGAGTATGATATTCTATAAACATGCATTAAGTCAAATTTCTTAACCATGTTGATCTTCTATGTAGTTAGGGCTTTGCTTTTTGCTTTTTATTTTTGTCCTTTTTGTTCTGCGAATTCCCAAATGAGGTGTAATGTTAAAAACCTCCCCATATGATCCCAGATTTGCTTATTTCTCTTTAGATTTTTTTTTTTTCTGTTGGGAACAGGCCCCCCAAAATCTGGTTGTAAGCTGACCCCCAAACTGGCCATAAGCAAAATCTCTACAGCACTGTGACATGTTCATGATGGCCATGATCCCACACTGGAAGGTTGTGGGTTTACTGGAATGAGGGCAAGGAAGACCTGGCCCACCTAGGGCGGAAAACCGCTTAAAGGCATTCTTAAACCGCAAACAATAGCATAAGCGATCTGTGCCTTAAGGACATGCTCCTGTTGCAGATAACTAGCCAAACCTTTCGGCCCATCCCTTTATTTCCCATAAGGAATACTTTTAGTTAATATATAATCTATAGAGACAATGCTTATCACTGGCTTGCTGTCAGTAAGTACATGGGTAAATCTCTGTTCAAGGCTCTCAGCTCTGAAGGCTGTGAGACCCCTAATTTCCCACTCCACATCTCTGCATTCCTCTAGCACCACTGGGTTAGGTTCTCCCTGACTGAGCTTGTCTCAGCATTTTTCCTTTATTTATTTTGAGATTATATTCTTACGTGTACACACATTTTAAAATGTTACATCTTTCTGGTAAATTGAGCCTTTATTTTTATAAAGTGATCTTTAATTAACATAATGCTTTTTGATTTAAAGATAATTTTGTCTAATATGAATATACTTATACACTTTTTTCTGATTGTTGTTTATATGACATATATTTTCTATTCTTTAACTTTTTAATCTTTCTATATACTTTTATTTTGGATGCATCTCATAAACAATACATACTTGGATTTTAGTTTTTAGTAATCCAGTATGACAATCTTTCTCTTTTAACTAGAGTAATTGGTTCATTTACAATTAATATAATTAGTCACATACTCAGATTTGTGTACCATCTTATTGTGTGTAATTTATCTTCATCTGTTTTGTTTCTTTTTGTCTTCATTTCTGCCTTCTTTTGTATTAATTAAGCATTTTTGTTCTTATTTCCTTTTGTTCCTGCACTTGCTTCAAAGTTAGACACTCTAATCTACTCATTTAATGTGTAGGCTACAATGTACAACATACATATCTATTTACCTTATCAAAATTAAATTTAATCAATACCTTTACCATTTCCCTTACAATATCTTAGAGCTTATTAATTCAAGTACTACCATCTCCCAAGTAAAATGTTATTTTATATAGTCAATATTTTTTGAATATTTTACATATTACTACTTTCTTTTCTATTCTTTCCTTCTTGCACATAATACTTTCCATTTTAGATCACTCTTTTCAGACTAATGAGCATCCTTTAAAACGTCCTTTAGTGAATATCTATTAGTGACAAACTTTCACAATTTTTGTTAGAATTAAGTTGAAAAGGTTTCTAAATCTTTTCAACCCATACAGGATGCAATTTTAACAGTACCCAGAAATTTATAGTCTTGTATGCTTGTATTAGAGAAGAAGATAGGTTAAAAATTAATCAGCAAAGTATCCATCTCAAAACTTCAGAAAGAAGAACTGTAAAATAAACCCAAGGAAATAGAAGAAATGAAATCATAAAGATAAGAGCAGAATTTAATTAAATAGAAACAAAAACAAATAAAGAAGATGAAAAAACCAAATGTTGTTTTATTTTAAAGCTAATATAATTAACAAATCTCTGGCAAGGGCAATCTGGAAAAAAAGAGATAAGGCACAAATAACCAATATTAGGAATGAGAGAGGTCACCACCATAGATGCTACAGATATTAAAAAGATAAGTTATTCTGCACAACTTTATGTGATTAATTTAAAAGTTTTGATGAAATTCATAGAAATATATCATTAACTAGAACTGTCTTTGACTTGAGAGACCAGCTCAGACTGACTATTTCTCAAGCCCAATTCTAAATTACCTGAAGAGAGAATTTAACTGGCCACTCTTCAGTTCAGTGATGATGCCAGACACAATCAATTAAAAGAAGAATGCTGTATTAAATCACAAAAATGTATCTGCCAGGGATCAGTACTGATCGGAGAGTGAAAAATTTTGTTTCCCTTACTATTGAAAGACATTTTGGATTGGTATAGAATTCTAAGATTGGACATTATTATTTTTCTGCACCTTAGGGACATTACTCCACTATATTCTAACTTTGATTTTTATTGTTCAGAGTCAGCTGTCAGTCTGTTACTCCTAGAGGGTAATGTATAGTTTTTCTCTGGATGTTTTCAGATCTTATCTTTGTCTTTAGTATCTTATAGTATTTCTTTCCATGCTGTGCCTTAGTGTAGATTTATTTTTATGCATTCTGTTTGGAACTCATTGGGCT